AGGAACGGGTGGAAAGAGTGGACAATATTCTGGTGACACCCTTTTGGATCAAACAGTGCGTGAGTCGACACATCTACTCATTCATGAACGACAGCATCTATGGACCCACTAATGAGAAATACTATTCGCATCTCATGTCGTCCGACAGAGGGATTGTGATTACTTTGAACCAACCCTTTCTCGTCGATTCGTTTGAGTTTCATCTCTGGGACAGAGATAACAGAGGCTATAGTTATGTGATCGACGTATTGAATGCGAGCTATAATTGGATCCGTTTAGTTGACAAATCGGAAGAGATTTGTTTTTCGGTCCAAAAGGTTGAGTTCGAGAAACAAGTGGTGAATGTAATCCGGATTAAAGGCATCAAAATCCATTTCGCCGATTGCACTGAGTTTCGCATCCTCCACACCAATGGCCACTGTATTATCGTTTAATTACCACTTCTTACCACTTCTCTTCGCCACTTCACAATTCTTTTACATTCATTGCATTTATAATAATATTTAAGATTTATGTTTTAACTTTTACGGTACTTATAATTCATTGACTTTTAATTCAGTCCACTATTACCGGTATTACGAAAATATATTTTGTATTTTAAGAAAAATGTGTTTAATTTGACTTCAATTTGTAATTTTTGAATAAATCTAATTTTTATTGATTAAGAGATCATTTTTGGCATTTGTTTTTATTTACCGGTAATCAAAATAGAAATTATTTGAGTTCATAAAAATTTTACTGAAAAAAATACAAACAAAACTTAAACATTAATTTATATACCGTATATAATTTACATACATTGTGATCAATAATAACAAAATTACTTTTTGACTGAGAAATAAATAATAAGAGTGAGAATAACCAAAATAATCACAAATATAATAATAATCCATAATCTCTTCTTTCGGGCCTTTCGCTACATTTATGGCAAAAAAACAATTAGATTAAAACCTTAAACTTATAACTGAATTGATTACCTGATATTCAGCGGCAGATCTGAGCTGTTGATTGCCGCCCTCGACCTGAATCTGTGCCGACACGACATTAGTCTCGATGTGATCGACCACTTCCTGCTGTTCGTAAACCATTTTCGCCAACTCTTGAAATATTTGATTCACGTCTTGTATGTCTGACTCGAGACGTTTGACGGACTCGTGTT